GGGGGGGGGGGGGGATTTTGTAGTAAGTTGCTTTTTCAAGCTGGAATTTCGTAACCTCTCGAAAACCACGCTGACGTTCGGCGCATCGGTTTATCTTTCCGCTTTGTATTCGAATTTCGGGGTAAATACGGACAAGTTTTTAAAAGCAAAACAATTTTACTGAGCTTCTTACTAAGATCAATTCTACCGACAGTTTATGACTGCGTTATTACAGAATTTCTCTGTTTTATATGTGCTATTTAAAAGTTCCAGGGAAAAGTGCAGAAATATTTGACGACAAAAAAAGTTACAAAAGAGGACTACTGTGTATTTCTTAGTAAGATAAATAATCTACTAATAATCTCCTGCATTGTTAGACAATTTTTTTCGTTTTATATGTACTATTTAAAAAAATTTATTAAAAAAAAAAAACTGATGCGTCCTCCGCATAGACGCGAGATATGGACTTTTCCTTTCTTCATCCTTTTCTCAGTGATAAAACGGATTTGTTTCAGTTTTATTTACCTATATTATACTCGGTGCTGAGCGCACCCGGCACGCACGACTTGGAGAAATATTCGGCGGCGGCGCGCACAGAATCGCAACCGTATCCCCTGATCCACTGATTGGAGATGAGATAGGCCAGCGGATACACCCAGCCAGCGGCGGTGTTGATACCAGTATGGCAGGTGTTTTTGTTCTTGAGATAAGTCAGATCCGTATTGTCGTCCTCCTCCTTGGCTACGGCGACGACGTAATAATCCGGCGAGCCAAGGTTGTAAACTTCCGATATAATCGGGATCAGTTCGAAGCGCTGTCCGGCAGTGTAGACGTCGCTGGCGTCCAACACGGCAACGTCCGCAATTCTATCGTAAAGAAAACAAGGTGAGTCACGCGTCACTACGATTATGATTCGCCAATCCCCACATCGGGATGTTAAAAGTAACGTCGAGCGGTATTCACAGTTCCATCTTATATGTAAAGAGGATTTTAATTTGTTTTAATTTCATTTTAATTCCCTTCAAGATATTTCAAAAAGTTTCAAAGTTCGTTTTAAGACGTGAGGCTAACGAAACTGTGTATACAGCGCCCTAAGGCGAATTTGGGAGGATTTCGAACGCAAGGTCGAGCTGTGAATACCGTTTGTACAGAAAGATCTTGCACACGTACCCGCTGTGGATAGACTGCATGCAGTTTATCTGACTGAAGCCTCGATAACAAAATAATTCCGGTTCCAGCAGCTGAGCTTTCAAGGCTATCTGCAACAGCAATTAATACAGACACACACACACACACGCGTCAAGCGACTTGGCAGAAGTCTTCTTCGTCAGAAGCACGCAGATTCCCTGAATTACGTACCTTCATTTTTATGCATTTGTCCATTTCAGGATCGGACGTGACGCACAACGTCATCCGATTTACAGGGCAACGACGTACTCCCAGTATGTCATCCAGGGACCGTCCCAAGTAGCTTTCGTACTTTTGATCTTTCTCGGGCAGATGCACGAAGTTAATAGTGGCGTCCTGAAAGCAAGAAAACGGCGTATCAGACTGCGAGGATCATGCGTAAGCATATCGGGCGGACGCGGATCTTACGGAGAAGATCAAGTTATGATGAATCCCGTATCTCGGCGCCGACTCGAACAAATCGAACATTTCTATGGGCTGAACATTCGTAGGCTCGTTCGACGTGTATTCTCGGTTGTGGTTGTAAGACGGGCTTTCCGTGCTGTAGTCGTACGGATAGTCGAAACCCCCGTTTCTAACAGTGTTGAAGCCGTTGTCGCCGTACTTGTAACCCGAGCGATTCTCGTAGTCGTTTTGGTTGCTGTCGAAGTGATCGTTCGACGGATAGCCAGTCTCATTTTTATTTCTGTGCAATACCCGAACCGCCTTCTCCAGGAATTTCTGATACAATCGGCGGATCTCGAACTTGATCGCCGAAGACATGACCACCGCGCGGGACGGCATGCGGCCCCAATTACAGATCCTGTATTCGTCCACGGACCGGCGGGTGCCGTCCTTGCACAGCAATTTAAAGTCATCCTTCTTCTTTTGAACTAGTAACAAATATCAAGTAACGCATATTTATTATTATTCGATGTTATTACTACGAAACAATGTATTCATCAATGTATCTCCTTCTCTCTTCCTCAAGCGAGAAATGTCTGTATTCTCTCTTAAAACTTGAATCGTCTACGCACCGAAGTCGAATGTGGTTGAAGTCATTTCCTCCACGGAGGTATGCACCAAGAAGGCAATTTCACCAGCTTCGACCAAGCAACGTAAAGCCCCCTCGTATCCTGCATAAGGATCTTGGCTGGTGCACTTGCTGCTGGGCACCTCTCCGATGCACAGCTGACACAACTGGTCAGAATTGTCACCTGCGACGGAATTTCCACTATTGCAACAACTATAAAATCACACACGCCCATACACTTTTGTATTGTTTTTTCTTGAATCCCTACCAAGTGGATTGTATCGGTCGATTAACGAATTCACCGCACAGCTAGGCCCGAAGTACTTGATCGTGGACTGCACGTGGTTGTTACAGTCGATAAGTTCCAGTCCTCCGTGTTTCATAAGCTGAACAAAGAATGTATTTTATTACATATATGTTATATATATATTACATATACATTACATTGTATGTCTCTCTCTGACTGTGGCTGGATAAAACATATACTTACAGTATTAACAGGAATGACCCAACCCGCCAGAGTCCCAACACCGGCAAAACAGGCCTTCTTGCCTCTCAAGTCATGTAAACTCTGCACATCAAGCAGAGTGTTATCTTTGATCACTGCAACGGCATACTGGTAATTTATACCACCTTGGTACATCTCTTGCATTATGGGTATGATACTGTGGTATCGTCCAGCCGTGAAGACCTCTCCGGCATCCAGTGTTGTTATCTGTACCACTTCATGGTCCAACATAGTCATACACTCATCCTTGTCGAAAGCTCGCTTACAGTATATAACCATATAGTTGTAATCGAAGAAGGACTTTTCACGTTCGACCGCCCTGGAGAATGCCTCGCATTTATTCTGCTCACTCTCAGAGACTGTACACCATGTGATTGTGTTGTTGAAGTGCTCGGCTGTCGACAATTAATAAACTTATTTAAGTTACAATAAAGCGAAAACAAGAAAGAGAAACAGGGATATGACGTGTAATTATTACGGTGAGAAACTGTGATTACACGCATGAAATCAACAAAGCAGCAAGAAGTTGGGATTTAGTTAACCTCGTGTGTTCATTCCAAGAATGATTTGGGTCTATTTTATGGAGGAAAATCATTCGCATAACATAACGCAGCGTTAAACAAGGCTAAACTATGCCGCCCCGCGCGAATGATCTATTATTTCATCGCGTTGAACGGCGAGTTTACACGCACGAAATCGACAATACCGTTTATTTGATGTAACACGAAGATGCACAGGGCCAACGATATCGCATAGTTCTTGGACCACATGTTTTTTTCTTTAAATTTATTTCTTTTTACGTCGACCACGACACACAGACAACACCCTTTGACATCACTATTCCTGACTGTACCGAACTACACCCAACGGTTCGACGCCTGACGTAATCCGTTCGTTAGAGGAGGATGGAATGAGAAAACAACGCTAATGGTGGAACTGTAATTTCAGGAAATACGACTCAACGACGAATCAGCCGAATTGTTATGGCTCCTGTGCACAAGATGCGGCAAGAAGCGGTAACCAATCGACTTTTCGTGAGAGTGAACGGTTGATTGGCCAATGGCTGTGAAACGTAGATATTGGGAATTTAGAGATGGCGCTTATCTACACGTTTCAGCACTTCAAACACCCTTCAATTCTTCAATTTCCCGTTATGAGTCGCCACCGTTTCTACCGTTTCTACCGACCAATCAGAGTTGTAGTTGGACTCAACGGCAGTTTGGCCGTTTCAATCATCATGTCTTAAATCTAATCGGCGATTAACTCAATGGAATTAAATAATCGAACCTGTAAGTATTCTTAAATATTATTTGTAATATAATCTCTTGTATATTAAGTATTATATATAAAGTTATCGTATTTTTTTAAGTTATACGTATCTTATATATAAAGTAATGAGCTCTTTAAGTATATTTCTTAAACTTTGTTGCGCACAATTTCATTGCTTTTAACTTCTTGAAGGACGAGTTGATGAAAATCAGAAGAAGATGTTTTAAAGTGATATAATTGTGATATCTATCAATAACCTTACATAGCAGAAATGTAAATGATATCATGGTATCTTTAGGATATTCCCCGAAATGATGTATTTTGAACATTTTTTGCCGTATGGGACATGATGAAACTTCCCTTTTTCTCGTGAGATTTTGTTATGAACGTTTATTCACAGCACTGTTCGTTATTTCTTTATCGACATGTGTATGCGTGCATATGTATGCTTGAATTACAGAAGAAAATTAAACATAAGTTAAAATACACCTTGACATCATATATAAATAGTAAGAGTGATCTCATTTATTAAAAACGCAAATATGATATGAAAAAATATACAAAATTATTCGCTCCGCTACAATTCGTAAGCGTAATTTAAATGCAATACATACACCCACCCACACACGTACTTTTTATTTTGCATTTCGAACGATGGCGCCATAAAAAAATATATATAACGCAGCCATTTTGAAATTATTTCGATGCAATTTTCTTCTATTGTTTATCCCTATTAAACGACTCCTCGCTGCAGGAACACAAATAAGGCCATTGTGAGTGTCCCGGTGGTCAGCGTGATCAGCGAACCTACGGAAAGAAACAAAAAGCTCAAGCGACTTGGAAGACTTCACCGAATTAGCTGGTAACGATGCAATTAAGCGCGATTAACCTTTAGAAGAACATTGCTCTCCTTCCTTACAGACGCATTGCTCTCGCTTACACTCCAAGATGTCCAAAGACTGGCTGTCCAAGTAGCATTCGTAGTTTTTCAAGCAGGAAAAGTACAAACCTGAAATAATAACGCACGTACGTTCGAATCAGCGTCGTTCGTTGCGTTACAACTTCTCCTATGCTCGGTGTAACCCCCTTCTTCTCTTCTCATTGTTTCGCTTCTAGCGTCTAATCTGCAGGGTTGGGTAAGTTAATTTTTTTTTTTTAATTAAGTTCAGTTGAAAATCGTTCTCTATGATTTAATTAAGTTTACATTAAAAGTTATATAAGTGAAATATTAACTCGATTAAGTTAAGTTAAAATGAAATTAGCTTTATTGAAGTTAAAAATAAAGTTAAAAGTTAATTATGCAAAGCTATGTACGAAATAGAAAAGAAGAAGAAGAAGAAGATATATGAAATATTTTAACTTAACTAAAAAATATAAATACGTTAAAATATATACGTTAAAGTAAATACGTTAAAGTTAATGCGTAAGATGTAACTAAATTTAAGTTAAAAATTGACTCATTTAAACTTTAACTTAGCTAAGTGAAAAGTTATTAATTCTTCAACTTTTAACTTAACTTTTGATGATGAAATGAATTGTCAAGTTACCACCCAACCCTGCTAATCTGCTATCACTGATTGTGTTACCTCTGCTTTTAACGCAGCTTTTCGTCTCATTTACATAATGGTGGCCCGTGAAACACTGACATTTCCCGTTGATGCAGTTCGCATAGTTGAATTTCTCCATGCACACACCTTCTGACTGGCATTCGTCGCCGATTTGAACGGGCCCTGGAATATTTCGTTAATAATTCATCGGTATCGCAAGTATAAAACGTCTCTTATTTTTATCGCGAAAAAGGACCAATTTTTAGCGTTCAAGAAAATCGAAAGTAGTGGACTTTTTTTTTACTAATATTTCAATATACGTAGATAAATATTATACCATAAATTATGCGAGGTGAGTCTGTGCATACCGTTTTCCCCCTTTTCCGCAGTGTTTTCGATTTTTCACTTTCTTTAAGGAAAAATGTAAGTGTGGCAAGTTTTAACCGAACATATGTGAACATATGTGAATTTTCTAAACGAGCTCTTCTACCCTTGAGACAAAAACCGAAGAAATCCGCGGAAAAATGGGAAAAAACTATTTTTTTTTTTCGAAACTTTAAAACTATAATCTCGTATGTAATAAAGCGGTGGGAAATCGCATGATCACTCACTGCTGATGCATCTCGAGGCATTACGGATGTCTTGGATGAAATCGTCCTTGCAGATGCATGAGCCCTGCCTGCACTCCGCATTCATCATCGATGCACACGTGGTGTCGTTGGCGCAGAATCGTCCGACGGCTACGAAGGGGACAGTGAAAAAACAACATCTTATCATTCGGAAGGGAAGATAAGAGCAAGAATCGGTGAGTGGAATATAGACGAGTATCGACCGGCGTCGATTCGTGTATCGTAAATATAACATTATTATTAACCAATTACTCTCGTAAACTTTGTTCGATTGTGATTTTCAAACGATCTCACGCAAAAATGAGAATTAATCTGTAAATAAATTTCAACGGATTTAATTAATCGCGCGACCGAACGACAAACTCCTTCGATTTTCTCCTTCTGTATGCTGAAAGAAAAAAGTGCTACATCTAAAATAAATAAATATTTACCGAGGAGTGTATCGGAATAATTATTAATTGATGTAATTATTTTACTTGGATTAAGTGTGCCCGAACAGCACAAATTGGCTGGCTAACCGTTGCCCAATATTGGTCAAACGTCAATCAGTTTGTATTATTAGGATAAATATTATTTGAACATAGCGCTTTTCTCTTTCAGTGTGCGAATTCGATTTGCTTAGAGGGATCGACTCGAGCCTCTTTTCTGGCGGACTCACTGGGGATGCACATTAATCGGTCGAGGCTCGGCGTGTGATACGGTTCGCACTGGCAGGTTTGTTGCACGCGGCAAAACGCGTTCGTGATGCAATCATTGTCCCTTTCGCAGCCCTCGCCGTACAGGCCTTTGCTTGCTTTGATTGTTTGTTTAACGCCGCCGTCCGCTGAAACGAGGAACAATCCTAAGTAGAAGAATTAAGACTCGATTAATCGGCGTGAGGTGAAGCCACGAATCAAGTGACACGGTGCAATCGTATTATCGCGAAAAGCCCTTCCAATTACCCTCGTCAACTAACGTTTGATTCAATCTCGATTTTTCCAAATTCTCCCGGGCTTCTCAGAGACAAACTCGGGTTAAGGCTTAATCGACGTCGGTGAGATCGGGCATGAAAGAAGAGAACCCTTCTCCAATTCTTCCCCGGGGAAGAGAAACATCGGGACCGGCGCATCAACATTGTTACTTGAAACTAATCTCACCTGAGACACTCGGATCTGAATTTCTCGCGTGTGACGCACGTGACGTTAGATTTGCAAGGACGATTCTACCGGCAAACTTACGTCCGACTCGAAACTTCAAGCCCGAGTACTTTATTCGAGACAAATTTCAAGTGGCGACTGTTGATACAGATCTCAGTCGTTCTCCCGACCGTTCTCCCCCGTCTAACGTCTTATTACAGGTATGACTTTGAGCCACGATGAGATGACAAACACTCACGAGCATCGTCCAAACAATCAAAACATCCGACGAGCGCGCACAGGACAATAACGGAGATGCGGACGAGACCCGTCATTTGGGGCCGAAATCGCTGCTCAAACGGGAATCGTGACAGGCGTGGGACATACGCAGGTGACTGCCAGGTAAGTGTCTGCGCGGCTTCGTGCGTGCTCACGACGATACGCCCTCATCTGATAAACGTTATCTCTAAGTGTATATCTGGCGATATCCCACGCTCGTGAATCAGAGGTCTGATATACCATCGCCGTTCGCCGGTGTCTCATAGAGAAAGTGAGAGAGAGAGAGAGAGAGAGAGAGAGAGACGTTAATTCACGTTTGTTTCACGTTTACAGCATGAAAACGTCGCACATGCGTGATGCTGTCGATCTTTCACTTCAGCCTCACCTTCGCCTCAAATCTTCGTTCAATTTTACTTCACATTCTCGTTATCAACGTTACGTATGCGTGACAGGTAAATTTGCTCCTTATATCCACAATATAAACAAACTATATAGATAAGCCAAGTTTTACATAATTACATAAAATGTTTTACATAATTACGTAAAATCGAGTGCAATGCGGTCTGTGTGATAAAAATTTCCCGAGTAAGCCATGGGGCCGCGAGCGTGATGAGACACACTATCTCTGTGAAAGAGATGAACAGAAGGGGAGAGAGACGGAGAAAGTATGTGTCATTTGTATTTCCGAGCCTCGCTTGTGCTGAGATGATTTACTTCGGTCGCTCGACGAAAGCATAATTCAAACAAAGCGCGGCGCGCTTCGGTTTCGCAAAACACAATAAATTGCGGCTCAGGGGAGACATGAAGAGTCGAAGGCAGGAAACGGTGTCTCGCGTTCCCCGTTATTGTTTGTATGAAATAAATATTACACGCGTGCCTCTCTCTCTCTCTCTCTCTTGTGCCATCAATTTAAGAATTTAAGAATAAACACACACACACACACACACATGATGGCTTGTAACGCGCATGCAATCAAATTCCGGCGTGATTAGCCAACCTCCATTTGTTCAACGAAAGCTCCCGCCATGATTGCAATAATTCTGCTAATTCAACCTCATCGGATTACCGCGCGATTCTTCATTATCATTACGGTTACAGTGTGGCCGCACCGGCGGCCTTTCATTTACGGACTCGCCGGAGTTCTGTGTTCGTGTAGCCGCGTGTGTCGTCCATTTACGACGCGGGCGGTCAGCAGTTTCTTCTTTTGTTCATCCTATTCGACGACCCGCGTAGAACGCAGAGGCATCGCGCTCAGACGCCGGCGCGGAAATTACGAGGAAATGGAGGAGGGCGCCGCGAGCGTCGTCGTGTATTTAAAAGGTCGGAGAGCGGATCTCGATAAGTGAGAAATAATTTCCTCCGTGTAAATGACGGAGCAAAGTTTCGCGCGAAGGACGAAGTGGTCACACAGCTCTCTCTCTCTCTCTCTCTCTCTCCGTTTCACTTTGTTTCTATTTTAGAAACGGCTCCGCTGGAGGCTCCGTTCCGATTTTATTTAGATATTGGATGAGATATCGGACGAAATGGCCGATGCAGGATGCAGTCAGGCGGAAGGAAGGAAGATCATCGCATTTTTATCTCTTCGGCTTCGGAACGCATCCGATATGGGATGGGAAAATCGATACCGGGAGAATTACACTAAGCGAGTTACGTACGTCGGATGCGCTGTGACATTTATCCGAGGGAGATGTACGCAATCTCTCTGCCAGAGGCTGGATTCGTGATAAGACTTTAGCCTCCCTTCGGAAAGAAAATTGACTTTCGCGTCATTCCGAAAATGAAGGAGAACCGACAAGTCTTAAGGTCTCACCCCCCTCTCTCCCCTAGCAATAACTCCCTGATAATCGAGGTGGAACGGAAAGTGACGATGACGTCACTCAAACTAACATCGAGGTGGCGAGAAAATGATTGTGAAGAAACTTGTTTTCCGATGATCTGCTCATCACATTAACGTCATCGTCACCTTCTGTTTTACTTGGGGGAAAAAACGGCTCGGACACGGCGCGGCGAGTTCGTCCTCGCGCCGTTCGTCAAATTCGTCGGCGACTGCACTTTTTGCGGTCGCGCGCGCGGAACCGCCGATCGGATTCATCGCGCGCGGATCGCGCGAACAGGAGAGTTGGGAGAGAAAACAAGCGCGCACGCTGGTGGGAGAACACGCGCGGGGACAGAGATCAAACGGAACGAAAAGCACGCAGGCCTTCGAACATTCAGCGGCGCTTCGGATCCGCGCGCACGCCAGTCGTTCGCCGGTGCCAATCGCCGATCGCCCGGCAAATCGACAACCGACGTCTCCTTCGCGGCAGATCGAAGATCGAACGGTTCCATACGAGTAGCACTCGAAGAGCAGCAGGCAATGAAGACGCACGTGGCTGTGATGAGCGCTGTGATCGCGCTGCTAATCGTTAATCTCGTCACCGCTGACCTTCGCAAAATCGGTGAGTCGCGTGTATGTGTGAAATTAGAAAAAAAATTCACCAATTCCGATCGAGTCGACAGTTGGCTACCACGCGAATAAAAATCGCAGTTCTCATGACTGAACATCGGGATCGGGGGATATCGATCACTTAATTTCCCTCCAGGACGAGAACATGAAAAATGAAATGTCCTCCAATTGAAGAAAAAAAGAAATTAATCTTCACCCCTCAGGGGGTTATGAATCTTCTTCTTTGAATTTGTGATGAGTGTAAATTTGTTGATTTCAAAACATTTCACTCGTCACGTTTCATGTCCTGGGGGGAAAAGTTGCACGAATGATAACCGGATGAAAACTCGGCGGCGATATCTCTGTTACCGCGTGTTAAACGAATTTAGTTTCAGAATTGTACATGGCCCTGATTCTTTCGGCAAAATTTTGGCTCATTGCATTGTTAAAAGAAGGGTCGAAAGAATCTCAATCGAGTCGGATGGGCCCAGTTTCAGGGTTGTACACTGCGAGTCGATTGCCCTCGGTTCTCTCGGCAAAATTTCGACGTTCTCTTGATTTCTCATTCGTGTGAAACGAGCTCGGGAGTTCAGTTCCATCGTAAAGCCGAGCCGACGTGTTATTGGTCGCACTTAAATGTCGCCTGATTCACTCAATCTTCCTCAACCGGAGGTGGAATGACTTGGGTGTTACGCAGTTGGATCAAACATTTTGGTAATTGAAAGAACACCCGTGTCACAACTGCGTTTCAGTTTTGTTAAAATTTAATCGCTGACTTTCGAATTTTGTAATTTCTCGCAATTGTTGATCCGGCTCTGGTCTTTTTCACTCGTTTCGAGCCGATTGCAGTTGACGTGTAAATTTGTGTAATTCCGAGTTTCTTTAAATCGATTCTTTTTTTTCAGGTACACTTATGCTTTCCTTTCGCTTTCTTTTTTCATATTAACCAAATTAAGAGCATGTTTCGCTCGACGGAGCGAATTCGAGATTTTCATGCTCGAAGCATGTATGTTGGACACGACAATTACGAGAGGAACGATTAAGCACGACATTCGCGTTGCTGATGTAAACATCGTTGTTGTGTGACGATCGAGGCATGACCTGTTCCACCGGGAACGATCTGTCTTTCTACACCAACTTCGCAACAAGCGCACAGGCTTCCCGTGTTGTCTGTAGTTTTCACGAAAATGTAACAATGCGATTAACGTCACTATGCACACTTATTTTAATGCGTACACGCGCATGATTAATAATAATTAATCCTCGCTTTGTCACACCGGGGTTTATTTACCATCCGCTGTCGCCGAATATGTATACATAAATATTCCTCGTACTTCGAATATCGCTGACGGCGTTATTTATCTTTCGCGCCGGAGGTCCGCCGACTTTCTGCAAATTGTACGGATCGAGCGCTCGCGACACTTTCCGGATCGAATCGATCGTCGCAGAACGGAGACCGTCCGTTTCTCCGGACGGAGGATCCGCTGACGGAAGGAAAATTTCATCGACTTCTACAATTGAAAATTCAATGACGAAAAATTCAGTGGGAAAATGTCTCTGTTGATCGCGACTGGGAACATTCCTCGTGTGAATCGAGAGCGGTTGAGCACTGAATAGAAACCTGCAAACATTTTCTCGGATGCTCCGCGTCCTCTTCCCCCGCGTGACTACGAGAGGGACGAGAAATAAATAATCCCGAATAATCCTGATAAACTTGAATTGCGACCATCGACGAAGTAGAATCATCTTCCGTAAGGGGTGTTCCGCGGCGACACCGCGACATCCTTTCTGAAACGACCGATTCGATTGCAGACTCGCAAATCCCGTGCGCGGAGACAGCGAATTGCACGAACATACCGACGCTTCCGCCAGATACGGTTTGCCAGGAAGGATATTGCATGTGTCCGAAGGACGAGGGCTTAGTCAGGTGTTTGGGCAGCCAGGCGGCCATACATGAGATCAAAAGACCAGGTGACAGGATCCAGAATCGAACAAAAGCTCGTTGCCTGTCGAGTCGAGCGTGATACGCGCGAGATCGTATTAACGAAACCGGTGCTTTTCGCAGGCCCGCTGATCTACCGATGGTGCAAACACGATCAGGATTGCAACTTCCATGGTGGATTCTGCAACACCACCAATCAACAGTGCTATTGCTCCAAGGGCTATGTGCCGTCGAATGACAAACACCATTGTCTCGAAAGTAAGCGCAACAGCGAAAGCGTCTTCTCGTTTTTGTGATTTAAGAACTCGAGAGAATGTCCCGAGGGAGGAGGTCTTCTTCGATTTCGATATATCTTCGATGGTCACTCACGCCAATTAACGTTGTGCGAAAAAAAAACATTTTTAGTACTTGTAACCAAAGTTATTTATAACTGTAATCGTATAAATGAAAGAATTATCAGGAGAATCACTGTATCGAATTCGTTACTCTATTTTTCGAGTGGAATTTTACTTCAAGAAATTTAGAGATAACTTTATATTACTGCTACTGTTCTTTGAATTTCAACCAAAAGAAGATATGGTTGAGATTGAAGATGACTATAATTTTAATAGGATATCTTTCAATATATATATATATTTTTTTTTTTTTTTTTAACAGAGGCCCAGTCGATGAACTTTACTTGCACGGAGGACAATCAATGTTTAGCGTTTTTACCGAACACCACCTGTCTCTCTAATAAATGCGTCTGTGTGTCTGGTTATCATTACATGGACAATGCGTGCTGGGAAATGGCAGGTGAGAAACAGAAAGGAAAAGAAGGAGAGCTCTGTTTATTCATTATAAAAATATTGGATTAGCTAAAAAGTCGGGTTCATTTCACTTTCTTCGACGATAAACTCATCTTCGATGAGAAAGCTGTACATACACATTTACACACACAAATGCCGCCAGGATGTCGGCGAAGGAAGTTGAATTAAAGTAAAATTAACTTATTAAAATTTATGCAAAATTATATATACATATTATTCAGGAGAAAAAAAAGTTAGGTTTTTATATATATAGTTTCGTATAATTATAACTTTTAACTTAAGTTAATTTACTCAACCTTGGATGATACATCGTCAGAGATTGCGATTGTCAATATTCTTCCCTTCTCCCTTTTTCTGTTTTCGCTCGGGACGCGACTCAGCAGACGGAGAAGCGCATTTTGTACTTTCTCGTCGTGCGAGATAATCTATCGATGACAAGTGATCGGGGGGTAAAATTTCAACTACACGTTTCCCCGTTGATAGGATACGGACAACCTTGCACGAAAATTCAGGAATGCTCGCACATCGAGGGCTCGAATTGCACGGACAATATGACGTGCGAATGCGGCGTCGAGACGGTGCTGAGCGAGGACGGGAAGAGGTGTTTGGCCGTCGTGCGAGACATTCGAGACGAATGTGAGGAATCGGTGCAGTGCCAGACGTTCGAACACTCGTCGTGCATCGAGAAGATGTGTCAGTGCCGAGAGGGCTATCATTACGAACGCGACATGTCGAGATGTTTCCTTAACAGAGGTACTTGCTCTTTCTTTTTCTCACCGGCCGCTCGCCGCGTAACCAACTCTTCTCTTGAGACTCGTCTCGTCTTCACCGCTTTATTTTCTGCTTCCTTTTTTCTCATTTCTTATCAATAAAATCTGCTCTGTCTGTGCTCTTTCGAACCTTTCGGGACTTGCGGAAAATTCATTTCCGGCACTTTCGCACGCTTTTTGTCGTATTGCGGAGTTAATGTTAAATTGGGGGAATTTCAGGAATCGACGACGAATGCGCGAACAATTACGAGTGTTACTTGGCCGAGGATTACAAGAGAGATCCGCCGATCGAGTCTCTGATATGCAAGGTTAACGTATGCGTATGCGCTGAGAATTATATTAAAGCGAAGAACGTATGCGTGAACGACGGTAAGTAAGAACGGCAATGTATGGAGGACGGAAATTAAAAAGGGAATCGGAGAAAATATCAGATGATTGTTGACGAACGACGATTCTTGAACGGCTTTTAAGACTCCCGTTTCTTCGACGTGGCCATCTTGATCAACGACACTCGTAATCGATTCAGCACATTTGTGTGATATTCTGAAACTTTCCCTTGTACAATCAACAGATGGCTGTGAAATTCGCGTGACAAAATTACGAGAAAAGATGAGCTGAAAAGGAAGGCTGCGTGTCACGTTAATTTTACTTTTTAATTAAGAATCATAATTATAATTATATGAAGATAAAACTTGCTTATATGAAAATATTATACAGTTCCGCTGAAAAGATCATATTCTTGATATTTAAGAATAATTTTTATGAATTAAGAGGAAAAAATATTAGATAGAAGGAACGATTATATTTGAACTAAGAATTCTGTCAGTTTGAGAGAAGATATCGTTTTTCCTCCATCCAATATTTTCCAATTTCAATTCATGAGAATTATTCTTGGAAAACACGAATATGTTCCTAATGGAACTGTATGGAAATTTCTTTACGTAAGAGCAAGATTTACCTTTATATAAGATTACATATTTGCTTACTTACACAGAGAGAGAATACGAATCTTGAATTGGCACTAATTTTTTTCCCTGCGTCATCAAACGATACGGATTGCAGCTGAAAAATAAGAGCCTCAAAGATCGGTCGCATTTCGTTAGCAACGATCCGACGTTTTCATCCGACGCAATCCGTCCGATCGCACAATGAATTTCGATTTCTGCTTACAGGTTCTCCGTTCTTCGCATCCTTTCGAGTAATAACTCTAATAGCGTTTTTACGCTTAATTTACGATCACCTGTAGTGAAGTTACTGTTAGTCGTTGAGATTACGATTTCTTCGAGGAGAAGAACTGTTACGCGCGTTGTACATATAAGTATCAGCGGAATCTCAATGAGTGTTCGCGTGTTTGCGAGGAAAACGGCGGCCGAGCGCGGAAATCGCCGAGCGACCCGTTCATCGCTCGTTTATCGCGGATTTACGATCACTCGTAAGGGAGAATCCCATCGAAATTCACGATAGAGATTCGTGCGTTTCTCACGAATATCACAGATATCGCGTTATAACGCGCCGTTGCGTTGAAACGCGGACTAACGGCGCCCCGGGATGCGGCGAACGCGTGCAAAAGCGCGAGCTTCCTCGCGGAATGCGTGCACCGGACGCGTTTCGTGCGACTACGTTGCGCGATCGGGGGGGCCCATAAGGAACAGGATACTCGTCCTTCGACGCGCCTCGGAAAGCACGGTTCAAGCACTGTAACCGCAGCGTCATGCGGGACGATATCGATCCTTTCGGCGTCACACGAAATACCGGTCGTGAATTTTCCTCTCGTTTCGTTTCCGAGTTTAAGAAACGCAAAGCTCGTCTTTCGCAAAAGACCGGTTGTAAGTCTTTCTTTTCTTATGCGACGTTGGCACGATTACATCTCACGCGATGAGAAACGAAAAGAGGAAGAAAATGACGACGGATGAACGGTGTACGAAAATTCTCGATTTTTCCGTCAACGTGATTTAATGCGATATTTCATGTAATGTCCTCCAATGATGTGTCATCGTCGGTTGTTGCGTCGAAAGAAAATTGTGTGTCTATCTTTATG